GAAGGGGACTACCCACAAGGCCCGAAGGCAACAAAGATTTAAATTCAAACTATCTATTTAGTTTGAAAGGCTATTTTTATTCAAAAAGAAGAAAGATTTATATTTACAATTTTTTTGTACAGAGGCGGCTACTCTTCCAAAAGGAAGTTCTTTATACAAAAACTGAAAGCGGTATCAAAAGAACGCAGCGATCGACCTAAGGCCCTAAATGACTCAATCTTCATCGGAGGCCGTATTCTCGGCATCGTCCTCGTCTTCAGACTCCCCCGAGTCATCGGAGTCCTCCTCAGGAAAGGCCAACCTCCGAGTTTTGTTCTCTTCCGCCTTGGCGACTTCAATCTCGGCCCCAACATCGAAGCTCTGAGCTCTGACCTCCTTGAGAGCCTCTCTCCGAGCCTGCCACTTTGCATGTTCGACCATGCTCGCAGCTTTGGCTTGATTAACCTCGGCATCGATCCTGAACTGAGCTACTTTGGCATCAGCTCTTTTGTTGGCCTCGACCACTTCAGATCTGGCCACTTCGAGTTCTTTGGCCAAATATGCTTTATCTAAACTGGCCAAATCCAACCGATGTTGAAGCTCTTTCATCTTTTCGATCAGCCTCAAAGCATTTTCTTTCGCAGATCGAAGTTAGGCATCTGACAGCTCCAACTGAGCTTCGACGACTTCCTTTTTCGAGGCAAGGTTATTCATATACTTTTTAAATTCTTCTGCCTCAGCCAGTAGTGCATCTACCTGTGAGTTAAGCCGTCCAATCTGCTCGATCCTCTGTCGAACCTGCAGAATCGGATAGTTAGTGGTTATCTCTTTTTCATCTTCACTATCATGGAACATTCGGAATACCTGCTCAGCCATCTCCTCATGCTCTTCCCGAGCCGCTATCTGCTCGAAGTTTTTCACTAAGAAGCTTGTACGAGTCACTCTTCTCAGAGAGGCTCCGAACCTCGGCGTCATGCTCCTCCCTGATTCGAATAAAGGCCTCGTGATGCAATACCGAAGCCTGCAAACAAAAGGAGAAACATTAGAATTACCTGCAACTCTATGTAAAAGAAGCGGCAAAAACGCCATCAGAGTTACTCGATTCAAAGCATGTTGGGCCTCGTTGAAGAGATAGGCGGGCCCCACCGCATTCATCACTGATTGATCTTCTTCGGTCACCAAGGACCGAAGGTAACTGGCAATCCCCATAGGGGAAGAAACAATTCGGGTATCGGTAGGAACGAAGAGCACTATCTTCCGCCTTCGGTCGGGATTGATACTCGGGGCCGGAAATCGGTCCACCAGTTTATGGAGCGATGAAAACGTCAGTACATATCTGATCGAGCTGTTGGAAAATCATATCGTTTCTCGCCACATCCTTTTCCGAGAAACGAGGGGACTATCTGTATACGGTCAAAACCGATTTGAGTCAGTCGTACGGACTGATCGAGACGATAAGGTTTCGATCAAAGGATATCTGCATGACAAGCTCGGTCAAGGTCCGAAGTAAGGGCGGCGAGCTTCGAGCTCGAAGACCGATCAATGACAAGCTCGATATCATTATCGAGCCCATATCCAAATCGAACTACGAGGCAAAGCGGAGATTATCGAAGATGCATGGACCGACCAACACTCACCCCGAATACCGAGACCCCAAGTCAGAATCGAGCTCGGACCAAGGCCGAGGGTTCGATCCAACATCGAGCTCGCAGACTAGGGCCGTTGCAACCGCACTATGGGAGAGAATCTTGGCGAAAATCGAGAAAAAGACAATACATCATGAGCTCTCCACTACGTATTTTTTATTATATATAAAGTAAGATCCCTCTACTATAAGAGGGACATGGATTGTAAGCAAGCAGGCGACACAGTAACAAAAGATCACTTCTCATATTGAAAGATATCCCCTTGTGCTTGTTTTACTTTATCTTATTCATTCTTTTTGCTTACTATTTTCATTCTCATAGTCAAGAATACACATATTTCTATTTCTCTACACGATTTATATCAAATTGTATCGCATATCCTTAGAACCATACACAAATCTAACGTTATCCGATTTTTCGGGTAAACAAATATCTTTCGATTTAACTTTTTGTCCACATGATTAACACCAAGTCCTAATAAACCTAATTGTTGTTCATATAGAGATTTGAGTATTAAAGCATTTTCTCCAATGAGCTTATACTAGTACTAGAAATCTCTTTTTTCGATATTAGCGAGGAAGATTAATTACTGGACTTGTTCTACAACAACTATGTCTCAATCCCCAGCTAATTGGAGGATCATCTATATAAATCTTCATTAACCATGTTGCTCCATTTAGACCCGTATCAATCAAATATTTGAAGATATATGTTCTATAGCAATAGAGATTCTCTAAGTTTTTTATTGGCATACAAATCCCTAGCAAGACTAAAATATTCCTAGAAAACTAAACCTTAATCTCAATTAATTGGTATCACCTTTATGGGTCTTTTTCTTCCACTCGTGACATATTTTGTGCTAAGTTTGCATGGATTGCGGCATATTGTAGGTCCTTCGATATAATTACCTTCACGTGATTTTTGACCTATCTTATCCCTTTTTAACACCTTTGCACACCATGGTTTTACACTTACAGATTGGTGTGTCTGGAGGGCGAGACATGATCAAACTATCTGAAGTGACTCTGATTCATTTTATCCTCTATGTGTGCTACCTATACCTTTCTACGAAATGTGATCATTCTAATTTTGTCTAATCTTGCATCATCGCACATCCATACAACATTGACATTTTTGCAACACTCATCTTGTGGATATGTTGGATGTAGACAGAATGATAAAAAAACTATATTTCTTTCCTTTTAATTAATATCATGTTCTCTCTTTTATTATCTGGCATCAAATGGTAAGTTTGTTATTAGCTCCATCAAAGACGAGGAAAACAGAGTTTTGATGAAATAGGTACAGATTAGATGAAAATAGTAGAGATACTTCCATAAACTCTTGAATGAAGAGGGGGACATGAACATTGTAATGGGTGATTTTGAGCACTCCGAGAATCGTCGAGATTTTGGGTATTGTAGGCGCATAAAAGTTGAGGAGGTCGATGGGGCTATGCATAAGATGAGCAGGGGAAGAGCGATTGTGCCAACAAAATCTCGATGGAATTCTAGAAGAACGCGGGTAGGGCAGGCTTGGAGTGGGTCACTGAGTTGTTTAATGTCATTTTTAGGATGAAGAAGATGCCCGACGAATGGAGATGGAGTACGATAATTCCGTTGTACAAGAACAAGGGTGATATCCGAAATTGCAACAACTATAGGGGTGTCAGCTGCTAAGCCATACTATGATAGTTTGGGAGAGGGTGGTAGAAGTGAGAGCAATGAGGGGTGTGTCTATTTTTGAGAACCAGCTCAGATTCATGCCGGATCGTTCGACTACAGAAACTATTCACCTTGTAAGGAGATTGACCGAGCAATATAGGGAGAGGAAGAAGGACTTGTATATAGTGTTCATTGACCTAGAAAAAACATACAACCTAGTCTCAAGAGAGATTCTATTGAGATGTTTGGAGGCTAGAGGTATGTCTGTAGCCTACACTAGGGTGATTAAGGACATGTATGATGGAGCTAAAACTCGGGTAAGGACAGTGGGATGAGACTCGGAACACTTTCCGGTTGTGGTGGGGTTGAATCAGGGATCAACTCTTAGTCCGTTTTAATTTGCCTTGGCAACGGACGCACTAACGTGCCACATTCAAGGGAAGGCGCTATCAGGGGCGGATTTAGGGGGGCAGAAGGGCAGATTTGAACCCCCTTGACACAACCCAAAAGTGTAGCTTAGTGGTCAAGGGGGTTCAAAATCTTTGAAAGTTCATAGGTTCAATTCCCACTAGCTATAATTTTTTTTTTTCTTGAACCCCCTTCGCAGAGATCCTGCCTCTGCCACTGGGTGCCATGGTGTATGTTATTTGCAGATGACATAGTTATGATTGACGAGACGCGAGATAATGTTAATGAGAGACTAGAGGTTTGGAGACACACCTTAGAGTCTAAAGATTTTAAATTAAGCAGGACCAAGTAAGAATACTTGGAGTGCAAGTTCAAGCTTTCAACGACGTGACCCGGGAAGTAGACATGGACGTGAGGTTTGATATATAAGTCATCCCAAGAGAGGAAATTTCAAGTACCTTGGGTTAGTAATTCAAGGAAATTGATGAGGATTTTTCACATCCTATTAGAATGGGGTGGATGAAATGGAGGCTCGCGTCCGGTGTCTTGTGTGATAATAATGTGTCACTAAAACTTAAAGGTAAGTTCTACAGAATGGTGGTTAGACCAACTATGTTGTATGGGACAAAGTGTTGGCCAGTCAAGAATTTTCTAGATGATGAAAGTAGCTGAAATGAGGATGTTGAAATAGATGTGCAGGCATATCAGGTTAGATAAGATTAAGAATGAAGATATTTTGGAAAAGGTGGGAGTGGTCCCCTGTGGAGGACAAGATGCGGGAAGAGAGGCTAAGATGGTTCAGGCAAAGAAGCCCCAGTTAGGAAGTGTGAGATGCTGGCCTTGGTGGGTACGAGGAGAGGTAGAGGAAGGCCAAAGAAGTATTGGGGATAGGTGATAAGGTAGGACATGGCGCTGCTTTAGCTTACCGAGGACATGACTCTTGATAGGAGGGTATGGATGTCGAGAATTAGGGTAGAAGGTTAGTAGATAGTCGAGCATTTTTTCTCCGATACCAGTAGTATTAGCTTTCGTCTGGTATCTTTCTTAGTCTTAGATTGCTATTATTACCTGCTGTTTTCTTACTATCTTTCGCTTCGATTTCTTAGTATCTTATTGTTGTTACTGCTTCTTTTTATCTTTTCTTGAGTCAAGGGTCTATTGGAAACAACCTCTCTACCTTTCCAGGTAGGGGTAAAGTCTACATACACACACCCTCCCCAGACCGTGGGATTTCACTGGGTTTGTTTTTGTTGTTGCTGGAGAAATTTATTGAGAAAAATCTTTTATTTTATTGATTAAAGAAATGTTCCCTGCTCTAAGAGTATTTTTTCGCTTTAAATGTTTCTTCCAGGTAACTGGTGGCTCTCTTGAAGAATCAAAGGAAGCTCTTGCAATTGCGGAAACAGATGGTTGTCCATATGTCCCTTATTCAGCCAGTTTACTCTGCCTAGTGTTCTTTGTTTTCAGCGAGTTGGCTTCTCAAATATATGGGCACATTTGACCTTCAGAACTAACTCTTTTTGCAGCAAGACTTTTCTGTACTGTGGGTGTGCACCCTACAAGATGCAAAGTGGGTTTGACTCTTGATATTATCTAATGGCCTACGAAAAATACCTACCCGTTCATATATGTTGGATGCATTTGTCATTTTCTTCTTCTGTGCTCAATCAGGAATTTGAAGACAGTGGGGATCCAGAAAAGCATTTGCAGGATCTTCTGACATTGGCTAAAGAGGGAATAGAAAAAGGAAAAGTACGTTCAATTTCGCTATCTCTAAGGTTATGGATTCATTCAATTTACACCTTCTTAGTAAATGCTCTTTCAATTTAGCAAATTTTGGCAAGCTTTAAATATTATACTCTCTAATGTGTGAACTCTGAGCAGCTTAAGCTCCTGGTTAACTGGTCATGTTGTTAATTGCTCCAAACTTTTCAACAAGGATTTTCTCCGAAAATGGCATTAGTATAACCAAAATAATACTGAATCATTTGCACACTTTTAAGATGTGAAATTTTGATCAATTTAAGCTCATCCTTTAACTGATTTGAGGTTTTAGTAGCCTGCAAATCACAGAAGGAAAAGATTTTCCCCAAGAAGAGCTTCAAGAAATTAAAGAATTGGATAATCTCATAAGGGCCTAACACATTTGGAGATGAACTTTCTCTAACTTCCTAATATTGTGCTAGTGAAGAAGGTGATCAAATAGTGAAGGCTGTAAGTAGTTTTTTAGACAAAGATTTGCTTATAAGATGCACATTTGTATATGATCTGCATTCTGATAATATAGCTCGGTCGCTCATCATGTGATTCATTCCTTTTCCCTCGTGAAAATACACTTCTGAATGAATCTTTATATTTATTGGCTAGCAAGTTTGGAGCTATTTCAATTCTGACTTGTCTCCCTGGTGCCTAAAAGTTGAAATAAATAATGCTAGTATATTTTTATTTATTTACTTTGCTGACGACAAAATTCATTTCAAACAAGGTGGTTGCGATTGGCGAATGTGGGTTGGACTATGATAGACTTCACTTTTGTCCATCTGATATTCAAAAGAAGTATGTATCTGCTTCACATAACCCCCTATGAGTTCTTCCTTCATCCTTAATTGGCCCGCATTAACACACAACACTCACTCTCTCTCCCCCNCCCTCTTTCTGGTGACATTTACTCATGTACCTTTTCTCCGGAGGAATTACTTCTTGTTCCTCCACTGGTAGTCTAGGTGCACCGGGATCTAGAGGGCACCTTTTGGTGACTATAGTTCTGTAGGCTTGCCTTGTTTCCACTTTACTGATGTGGTCTTGCTTTCTCTTTCAATGTTTTGAAATATAGGTACTTTGAGAAGCAGTTTGAGTTAGCATATAGAATGAAACTGCCAATGTTTCTTCACATGCGAGCAGCTGCTCAGGATTTTCGCGACATTCTTGAGCGAAATAAGGATCGGTAAAATTTTTGTACTTGTAGGAGATAGCACGGATTGGCTTGTTTCTAATTTTCACTGTGTAATCCCCATCAGTATGAGAATACTGGAAAGATCAAGTTAATTTTATCTAAGAACTTCTTACAGTATGTAGTGGTTAGATTTTTCATAGGCCAGCTTAAAAGTGGAAAGAATAAATAAAGTAATAAACCACATGATTTCACCACTATGTTTGACTCTTATATCTCACTGCTTTTGGGATGAAGCCATACCCTAATGCTAGAAGGCTCCTGCCTAAGCAAGTTCAGGAAAAAGCAGATGTAGACAGCCTTACCTTCCAAGTCAGAAAATTTTATGGGGCCAGCTTATGCCGAGATTTGCTATTGCAAGAATACTGATGTAACTTAAAAGGCTGTTTTTCTGACTATCTGTCTTATGGAATTGATGCAGTATCCTACTTTTGTTTAATTAAGTGACATTAGGCAACATTATCATGGTTAGTGTAACGCTTTGCATTCATAATTGCAGTTTTATATATGATGTTCTGATAAACCAGTTGTGTTGAACAGGTTTGTTGCTGGTGTTGCACACTCTTTCACTGGAAGTGCTGAAGATCGTGATAAACTTCTTTCATTTAGTAATGTTTTTATAGGTGAAATCTCCAGTCTATTATGTTCAATATTGTAATTTAGAAGCTGTCATGTTCATGTGTTTTCCATCAGGTATTTGAGATTGCTAGACTCTGATTTACTTATATCTGTTCATGTCTCTCTGTTTGAACTACTAATTAGGTGTAAATGGTTGCTCTCTCAAGACAGCTGAGAACCTTGAAGTCGTAAAGGGTATACCAGTTGAGCGAATGATGATTGAAACGGATTCACCATACTGTGATATCAAGAATTCACATGCTGGGATACATTTTGTGAAATCCTCATGGCCTTCAAAGAAAAAGGAGAGGCATGATCAAGAATGCCTTGTCAAAGGTCGCAATGAGCCTTGCTTAGTTCGGTAAGTGTCATAGCATTCTTCTTGCTTAGTGATATGATTTTTTTTCCATTTTGTCTTTATAGACATCATTTCAAACAGTGGTCATGAGATTGAAGCTGATTGAAAATATCCTTATTCCTTATATTATTCAATTGATTTTCTTTATAGGATACCAGTGTTTTGTACCCTTTCTTTCTCCATTAAATACATTTTTATATGTTAGCGAATAGCGATTACTTGCAATACTTTTTTTTTCATAGGAAAAAGTAACTTTAGAGTTGGCAAAGGATACAAACTTGGAGGAAACAGAGAAGCTAGAAGAACTATCATTGCTACACATACCCACTGAACTTCAAATTGGCAAGTGCCACTCTCCACCAAGAATAAAAAAAGAATAAAAGGAAAATAGAAAAAGAGAAAAAACCCAAAGATTGTCTTTGAAAATCTTAACCTTGTTTATTAAGTTATCTATTCATCCGGGATACTTTAGCTTTCTTGAAGTTTGTCTTTCTATTATGATCTGTACAACACGAACACTTCCAAAATTGTCTTGCCTGTTTTGAACTTTTTAGTGTTTCTCTATAATAAGTGGTTGTTTGCTTCAAGGACAAGGTGTGGTCGGGGGATTAAAAGTTGGGCGACCTTTTGTCCATATGGGATTAGTTAATCCCCTGTGTGTGTGTGTCCGTTGGGGGTTGTTTGGGGGGTGGGGGGTGGGATTGAGATAAAAATTAGGGTTAAAGGCTTATCCCCCTTTTACTTTGTTCTGTGTTCTTCTAATTCTCTCCGAATGCTTTTGAGTGGGGGTATCAAAGGAATTACTTATATAATTTCTTTCTGTTGTGGGATATTTACCCCTATTTTATGCCTTGGCAATGTAGTAGTGCTTCTAGCTGCATATGATTCTCCGTATCTCGAGTTTAATCTTGATTTATTGAATAATATCAGCTCCCTTCTTCCAGGCAAGTACTTGAAGTTGTTGCAGGCACTAAAGGCATCACTGACATAGACCAACTGGGCAAGACACTGTACCACAATACTTGCAGGTGATTATAACGTTTTCTCTTTGTCACATCTCTATACTCGTACTGCAAGAAAGTAGATGATCTTCTTATACAGAAAGATATGGGAAATGATGGTTCTTTTTCATTTCTGAAGGCAAAATGCCTTTCAGGGTATTCTCATTCTTCTTAATTTTTGGGGCCGAGAAATGCTTTCTTATAGTAGAATGTCAAAATTATGGTTCTTTTTAGCTGATTAAAACAAATTCTAAGGATTTATCACGCTAACCCAAACCCTTAGGCATCTCAGAAATTATTCATTCCTGCAGGGAGACAGCCTGGGAATTTTCTGCTAGTAGTTCCATGCCTATGCCATTTTTTTGGGGGGGCAAAATTATGTTTTTTCTGTCACTCGTGAAGATTTGAGTTCCTTCGCTTGACCATGAATTTCTTCAGGGTTTTCTTTCCTCATGATTTGGATTCGGCAGCAGAAGCCCTTCTTGCTAGTGGTACGGAAGCTATATGAAAGAGGTCATGAGTTCAAGAGAAAAGGCAGCACTCTGCTAGTCAGAGCGTTTATCCTGTCAAAGTATGAGAATTGTATGCTAGAAAACAAAGGGTGGAAAATACTTAAATTTATGTTTTTCTGTCACTCATATATTGTTTTTTGGTAATTTATTTTTCTCATTAATCACCAATGAAAGGCATTACAGTGCATTAGCTAAGCTTAAACGCAGCTTAGCCAAATCAGAAAGAGCAGTAAACAAAAAATTCCCTACTTCCTATACATCTTGCTATCTACGCTTCTAATTATTACATGTTTAAAAGTGAAGCTGCTGTAACCACCCTTTCACAATCCCTTCAGTTCTTTGGTTGCATACACATACAATCTCACGTGCTACACTTTCATAGCCCCGTGCAGTCCCTTCAAATACCCTGTTGTTTCTCTCCCTACACAAGGCATAAATAGCTTCTGTATATAGCATTTTTAGCCCTCTTGCCTGCTTTGATTTGCCTTTTGTTTGTTTGATGATCCACTGTATAAATTGCACCCAAGTGTTGAGTGTAGCAGGTTGGATCTGTAGCCATAAAAACAATCGCCCCCACTGTTGTTGTGCATATCCACACTCCACAAGAGATGGTCTCTGGTCTCATTCTCCACTCGATAAAACACACAGATGGGGTTAACATTGAGCCCCCACTTTAGCAATCTGTCCACAGTTAGCATCCTTCCATGATTGTGAATCCACATTGTAATTATGGCTTTTGGTCGAGCAGTGTTTTGGTACATCAGCCTTCTCCATTGTATCTTTGGATAAGGTGGTATCATTTGTAAGTAAATCTGCTTGATCACATTTTCCTACTCAGTTAAAGGTTTGCTCAGTTGTGTAATAATCTCCCTGGCTCCTAGAATTTTCCTTACCATCCAGCTTGCACTTTGTGGTATGCCCATGCTATCTACATTTTGCCCTTTGATGTAATACGTTTTTGGCTAAGATCCCAATATGTCTTTGCAATTGCTGCCTTATTCCATATCTGTAGGTTGTGTCGATTGAGTCCACATGCTGCTTTAGGTTGACATATCTTCTCCCAGGCAATTAATGCTTTCCTAGTGATCTCATTCCTCCCCGACCACATATAGCTTCTGCAATAAGCTTCTATTAGTTTTGTGACTTTAACTGGTAATGTGAAGATTTGTGACCAATATGATTGCATGCCAAAAATCACTGATTGCACCAGCTGAATTCTTCTGGCATATGACAGCTTTTTTGTAGTCCAAGATGTAATCTTAGACACTATTCTCCCAATAAGCGGCTGCCATTGCACCACAGTCAACTTCTTTGTGTCAAGTGGAACTCCTAGATATTTAAAAGGCAGTTTTCCTAGACTGTGGCCCAGCAGTTGTATTATTTCAGCCTTCTCCTTAGTGTTGATGCCTCCACAATACACTATACTCTTAGCCATATTAGCCTTCATCCCTGATGCTTCTGAGAAAGTTGCAAAACAAGCTTGCAGTTTTTGAATGGAGTTTTTGTCCCCTCTGGCAAATAACAACAGGTCATCAGCAAAACTCAGGTGAGTAATGCCCAGCTTCCCACATCTTGGGTGAAATTTATAACCTTTCTCTTCCTTCAGTCCATTAAGCAGCCTACTCAAGTATTCCATAGCAATAGCAAAGAGAAAAAGAGATATTGGATCCCCTTGCTTCAGGCTTCTAGCTGCATTAAAGGGTTCCATAGATTCCCCATTAAGCATAATAGAGTAATTAACTGTCTTGACGCAAGTCATTACCTATCCAATAAACTTTTTAGGGAATCCCAATCCTTCCATGATTTGTTATAAGTACACCCATTCCACAGAGTCTATGCTTTTTGTATGTCAACCTTTATCATACACCTGGGAGAAATGTGCTTCCTGTTGTAAGATTTGACTAGTTCATGAGCCAAAATTATGTTATCTGCTATCCTCCTCCTTGGACTGAATCCTGCCTGAGCCTCAGATATAATGCAATTCATCACTTTTTGTAATCTAACAGCCAGCACTTTAGAAATAAGCTTAGATAGAACAATGCAACATGCTATGGGCCTATAGTCTTTCACTGTTGCTGGGTTAGGTATCTTTGGTATCAGGGTAAGAGTGGTTCAATTAATTGCCGTGTAGTCTCCCTGTGATGAAGAAGTCTTTAACTGCTTCACATACTTCCTGCTTCACTATATTCCATGACTTCTTGTAAACCACATCATTGAATCCATCTATTCCTGGTACTTTGTCATCTCCTATCGAGCATAACCCCTCATAAACCTCCTCATCTGTTACATTAGCATATAATGCTACTTGTTGTGAGTGTGTCAGACAGGGTGTAGTCTTCATGATTACTCTATTTACTGCTGGCAATTAGACACTAGTCGAGCCCATTAAAGACTTGTAGAAATCCAATATTTCTTTTTTGATATCTCCTATGTTCACTAGCTTCATTCCTTGCAGAGAGTTAATCTCCAGCATTTGCTTGGTCTGCTGCTTATCTTTCATCACAGCTGAGAAGTATTTATTATTTAAGTCCCCAAGCTTTATCCAGTTAGCTCTAGATTTTTGTTGCAAAGCACTTTCTTCAATCATAGACCACTTTTCAAGTTGTTGCAAGCATTCCCTCTCCTGTTCAGCTAGGCTATCTGAATAGCGATTGTGCATCCTCCCTTGTATGTCCTTTAAATATTCTTGAGTAATCTTCTCTGATATCCCTTTAAACTCCTCAGAGTTCAACTTTTTAAGATTTGCTTTAAGCTCCTTCATTTTAAGCCATACATTTTTCATTTTCTCTGTTGCTTTATTTCTAGCCCATCCAGCTTCCACTAATTGTTTGAATTGAGTGTGTTCTGCCCATATGTTGAAGAACCTGAATGGAACTTTTATGTTTCTCATGGTGGCTCTCATTTGAATGATCATAGGTGCATGATCACACATATCTGGCTCACCATATTCTGTACTCAAGTGTCCATAGCTGAGCATCCACTCATCATTAGCTAGTTCTTTTTTCAATCTGCTACATATTCTATCACTGCCCTGTTGTTTAGTTGACCAAGTGTAATAGTCTCCTTTCCATGGTATTTTACTTAGTGAGAGGTTGTGATAGCAATCTGCAAAATTCTTAATTTCCGTGAATGTTACTGGTACTCCATAAAGCCTATCTTGGGGATATAGAATTGCATTGAAATCCCCACATATTAACCATGGCTTGTTAATCCTAGATGCCAGAGTATTTAATTGGGTCCACAGAGTCTTCCTTTGTTCAATTGTATTAAAACCATAGACCACTATTACTAAGCAGTCCACTCCATTTTGTTTCCCAATGATATGGCAATGTATACATTGTGCTTGGCTTGCCAATTTCTTGATGCTATATACCCTACTGTCCCACATAACCCAAATTCTCTCATTACTTGGATCACTCTAGTTGTTGATCATACGCCATGTAGGAGCAATTTTTCCAGCAATACATTGTGCATTATTCTCTTTAATTTTAATTTCCACCATCTGCTATTTTTATGTGATTTTCTATGAGGTACTGTTTGATCTCCTTCTGTTTGTACCTCTTATTTATTTCCCTCACATTCCAAATCAACCAAGTCATTGAGTGATGTTTAGTCCTCCTCTTGTATCAGGAGGCATTACATTACCCACTTGCTTCTCATTCATATGAATAACTTGAAAGCCATTCTTTGTTGACACAGCATAAACTCCTTCTGTATTTGCCATTGTCTCTTGCTGCTCCCCACTCCTCTCATTTTTCTCTCCTTCAGTACTTTGGTATTCTGTCCTCCTCTTCGTTGGACTGTTTTCTTTACTCTTTGGCTGCAACCACTCTCCTTCTACATCCTTTGCAGTTGCCTTTCCTTTATGTATCTGTGTGTTTTTTGCCCCTGCATCTACTTGTTGGTCAGCCATTCTTATGCTATCTGTAGGTTGTTGCTGTATTACTCCCTTTGCTACCCATGTTTGGACTGTTTTTGTTGGCTTCCTTCTCTTTAATGGTTGACCATCTTGCTCAGTTTTTCTTTTCAGACAATCATGCCCAATTTTCAGGCACTCAGTACAAAACTCTGGCTTCCATTCAAATTTCACTGCCTGCTGGAATTGTCTTCCAGATGGATCCATCAGTCACTTCAGTAGGTAAAGTTTTAGTGACATTTACCTCAATCAAAATTCTAGCATAGGAGATTCTCTTTTGATTGGCTGTACAAGCATCAACAAACAATGGGTACCTATGGTACTGGCCATTCTGCTTAGTTCTTTACACAACCCCAACAATTCATAGGGAGTTTAGGAAACTTGACGCATAGTGTCACTTCAGTTAGAACTTCAGCATTGAAGTCGAAGTCTGGGGTCTATTGTTTTATGACAATCGATCTAATGTTAATACTATATGGTCCCCCATAGTTGTTTGAAATTTGACAATGTAATAGCCTTCCTCATGGAGGTATAGTTCTGGTTCAGCAATGTTGTTCCAATTCTGCAACATATATCTCTTCATATAGTTATACCCATATAGTTATACCCATGTGCTTCACCAATTACGTATACAATCATTGCTCTTCTCCACTTTTCCGTTTCTATTACGATTTCTGATTTATCTAATTTAGCAACAAATTGACCATTTATCACTTCTGGTGGAATATAAGATAAATTCATATCATTTTTTGCCAGACGATTCCCTACAAATAGTTTTGTCCACGGTGCTGGATCACACTCTTCTTTTCCCAATTTTTACGGTTTGGGTTGTGCTACACCCTCACCATCTCCTGCTGCTTCACTTCGATTAGCTTTCGTTTTTGTTGAAATCAGTTGCTCTCCTTTTGAATTTGACTGTCTTTCTCCACTCTTTGTTGTCTCATGGATAATTGCATGATTCCCACTTCGATTCAATTCCCTTCGAGTTATATCACAGGAGTAGGTACCTGAACTCCACTCAGATTCAGATTCTCTCTTGTATTTGATGAACACGCTTGTACATATGATTGAATCCCACTCAGATTCAATTTCTTCGATGCCCCAACACTTATTCCATGTGAGCCCAGATCGATTAACCTAAATTGAAATTGATTCCCAATCGGTGTTACCACTTGTTGGGTATTCCCCTGTTTTAGGGTTTTTGCTATCACTCTCGCACTGACCGAGCTTCCAACAGTCACGCATGGCTATTTTCGAGGTCGTCCTTTCCTCCCTCCCATGGCTATCCACGTTCGACATACGTTAGCTTAACATGCGCCGAGAGCTTTTGAGAGAGAATTACATAAGATTCTACTCATATATTGTTATAATGAGTATATTATTGTAATTCACTAGCATGTGGCGAGGTGAGTATTTGTGAGGATGCATTTTGATCTATATATATATTTTTGAATCAAAGCTCGAGTTGTGGTTCAATATTTGAAAATAGTAAACAACAGCAATAACCATAACAATAATAACAATAATAATAATAATAATAATAATAGTAATTATAATAATGAATTATTTAGCTCATGATATCTATTTTTTGTTGAGATTTTCCGCTCTGTTTATTTTTCCAGTCTCCTACTTTCTTTTTGTTCTGGCTTAATATAGTTTTAATCTTCTTCAAGTCTGCATACGGTCGAAATAGATTTCGGCCTTCCTACGTTCGATCGAGTTCGAGTGTTAAAAAGTCGGAATTAGATTTTTGGGAGTGAGCTCCGAAGTCGTTACTAACGAGCCTCGAGCCCAAAGGTCGATCGAGGAGTTGGCTCGATAACCCTATCGAGCCCGTGGCCGAATCGATCCGCAAGGCACTGCTTCGAGGTCGGAAATGCGCGGCGCCCATCTCCAAGGTCGGACTCGAGCCAAGACCGAAAGGCCCAACCCAGTAACGTGCTCGAGCCAGTATCGAGCTCACAGACAAGAGCCGTTGTGACCGCACCAAGAGAGAGAATCTTGGCGGGAATTAAGGAAGAGACAAGTCATCATGGGCCTTCCACTATATGTTTTATTTTATTATTTTTTGTGATAACCCTCTTCTTTAAAAGGGGGAATCCTTGTAAGCTAAGGGCAGAGACAAAAAAAACGAATCACTTCTCAGATTGAAAGATATCCTTTTGCGTTTGCTTTACTTTATCTCATTTATTCTTATTGCCCACTATTTGCATTCTCATAGTCAAGAATATACGTATCTCTATTTCTCTACACGATTTATATCGAATTGTATCGCATATCCTTAGAACCACACACAAAATCTAACGTTATTCGATTTTTCCGGTAAACAATTTGGCGCCCACCGTGGGGCTAAGGGTAACAGTGATCGTTTGATACAAATCTAAAGTACATGCCAGCTTACAACTTCAAATCAGCAATGGCTTTACTTATCGACCACGAAGCCGGCCTTCAAGATGAAACCAACAACTTGGCACCCGGGACCGGAAGGCCAGTTAACGATGGCACCGAGGATGAATCGAAGTACCCGAAATTCAAGCCGAAATACCATTGGATGTCAATTCACAAATAGCTTTGGAGGCGAATCAATGTTCCGAACCGGAAAGAAGCATTCAGGGCAGTATTCGATCCGTAGCCCGAGACACCCAAAACGCGGGGAAAATCGGGGCCAGCTTACGTATGATCTTCGAGATGCTACAAGCCCAACAAATAGCGATAGCTTAGTTACAGAGCCAAACTCGCGCACAAAGCAGGCCGGATTCCAATCCACTTCGAGAAGTTACCCCCAGAACAGAGCCCGCCATAGTGAAATCAAACGAACAAGAATCGGGGACTACTCTCGGAAT